GGGGGTGGAGTAGATCTGGTCTTCTTCCACGAACAACTTCGTTACCTGGGAAAGAAAAACAAGAATACATAAGGTGATGGTCCGGTCGACCCGGTTCTACTGGAACCAGAACATCTGCTCCACCTGCAGCTGCTGTGGTTCTGAGTCAAACCAGCCTGTTCCCCTCCTGGCCAGAGGGGGCGCTGCACCAAGAACCACTGAAGGAAACGACAGAAAAACCTCTGAAGACACTGAGAGCAACTTCCTGTTTCACCAGATGAAACAAGATGGAGGCGTCAGAGTTTAGTGATGGAGGATTTCTCTTTAGTCTTTTGCTGAAGACCAGGAGCCATTTCTGCTGCTAGCGCTAGCAGGTTTGTATTGTTTTGCTTGCATTTACCCAGGATGCCTGTGCTGTAGTCCACTTCCTGCTTGTGGAACAAAAACTGTCCGGTCCGCTTGGCGTTCACGCATGCATTCAAAGTTCACTTAATCAAACTGAGACGGAGTTAATAGGCTGCAGTGTGAATGTTGCCATAGCTGCTGGAGGCGAGTGAACATATCCCATGTGTGTGAGTGTGTGTGTGTGTGTGTGTGTGTGTGAGTCTGTGCGTGTGTGTGCGTGTGTGTGTCTGTGCGTGTGTGTGTGCGTGTGTGTGTGAGTCTGTGCGTGTGTGTGTGTGTGAGTCTGTGCGTGCATGTGTGTGTGTGTGTGAGTCTGTGTGTGTGGGTGTGAGTCTGTGCGTGCGTGTGTGTGTGCGTGTGTGTGTGAGTCTGTGCGTGTGTGTGTGCGTGTGTGTGTGAGTCTGTGCGTGTGTGTGTGTGTGTGTGTGAGTCTGTGTGTGAGTCTGTGTGTGTGTGTGTGTGTGTGTGTGTGTGTGTGGGTGTGTGTGTGAGCTTACTTGACTGGACGGTGAGCCGAGCCACAGTCACAGGGATGATGGTCCTGGCTGCAGTGTACTGGGCGTAGCAGAAGTAGTCGCTCCTGCTGTCGCTCTTGATGAGGTTGGCGAAGTACAAGTTTCCGTCCAGGCCGATCATCACTCTCTCATTCTGGGGAATGTGCCGCATCTCTGTGGGAAACCAGAGAAACAAGCCTCTAAATCCAGAACCATAAACTATTCAGTCAGTCAGTCACAGCGCCACCTGCTGCCCAAACTGTGAAAAGGCTGAGATTTATAGCCTGTCTCAAAGTATTCCTGGATAGACGGAGGTACGTTTTCATCACCAGAGAAACAAATAAGACAAAACCAGAATAACTTCAAAAGTGGAATCGTCCAATCAGCATCGCCTCTGGATTCCAGTGAAACCAGCCACTTCCCTTTGCTAACGTCACGTTTATTCATTTGTAGTTGTGTTTAGTGAATTGTTGAAGTGGTTTTTACTTTATTATAAATGAAATAAATACATTTCCTTCATGCAAACCACACCGATTTTACCCGGTTTATCAAAAGGCGAGAACGGAAGGAAATACTGACTGGTTCCCATCCAGTAGATTTGAGGAGGCGTCGACCTCTTCGGAGGGTCACAGGTCAGGATCAGGCTCTCTGACTCGTACGCAGTCTTATCCAGTTTGTTTCTTTTGGTACAAACGGATGAGCTGAAACACAAAACACCAGAAAATCTCTCACATGTAATGATGACGACGTAATCATCCGGATCAATTTAAAACCTAATGAACCTTTAATACTGGAAAAACATTTTACCATAAATAAACAACAAATAAAATGAATTATAAAGTGTCTGAGACAAAAACACCAGACTGAAGAATTTCATCATCCAAGAGAAAAACAATAATCATGCAGATGGAAATTATTGATCTTGCTTTAATTGATCATGCGGTTAATTGATTTATTGCTTATTGCACCACAGAGGGTTAAACTTGGACCTCCCACCAGCAAAAACTGCAACCTCATGCCTGAGCGATAAATCTGTCCTAGTTTGCCAGGGCAACAGCGTAGTCGGGTCAGGCGGTGGGTCCAGACCGACCGGAACCAGAGCGGTTTTCCTGATCCCCTGTGAGACTCACGCTCCACTTTGACCTCTACGGTCTGTGTCATGGCGGTGCCCAGGTGGTTGGAGGCGAAGCACTGGTAGACGCCGGCGTAAGACTCCAGCTCCATCGTTTCTTCGTTTTCTGAGGCGTTAATCTTTCCATAACCGACCTTCTCTGTGCCGAACTGGACCGTCCTTCACCCAGCGGATCCTGCAGGCAGAGGAGGGAGAAAGGCAAAAGTAACACGGCAAACAGGCTGGGAAACGGTTGCTGCGGCGACCTGAAGGTCAGAGGGAGGAAGTGGACAGCAAACAGGACGTCAGCGTTTTTCGGGGAGGCGGCGCACTCACAGCGGCGGGTTGCCGGTGGCGTTGCAGGTCAGAATCACGTCTTCTCGGGAAACGCCGTCAGCGATGTGGGAACCTCCATCAGACTGGGAGGCTCTTGCACTGACAGAACAAGGAAAGCACAAATCACAGAGGAACAAATAGCACCGCTGCTGGTTCTCAGCATCCCACTAACTGGTTTTAAAATAATCAAACAGTCACTAAATACTCCAGGATCCAGACTCTGACTTCTTATACTGGTCTGAGAAAAGGTTCAGACAATTTTAAGGTTTCTTAAGACCCATTATTTTCTTATTTTATATTTATTGACGTTTTTTGCAAAGTAGACATGACAATAACATACAATATCAGCCAGAGTACAAAATAAACCGTGAACAATATTTTAAAAATCAGAAAAAAATCAGAAAATTGTTTTGTCTGTTTGTCTAAACAGACAAAAATAAGTAAATAAAAATTAAAATAGCTGAAAAAATTAATTAACTAAAGTGCAGGGAGACTAGAAGATATTTAAGTCTTTGAAATTTAATTCAGAAAATTGACTTATTCACATTTGAACATTAAAAATTCTTGTTTAACCAAATCCTGGAGATAAAACAAATTAATGAAAAGTTAACACAACTGACTGCTGCAAGTAATTAATCTGCTTCCAGATTTATGTGACTTAAAGAAGTTAATAAAAACTAAACCGGCTGAAATGTTTTACAGTGTGCTAAACTGGAAACAGTTTAAAGAAACAGTTTGTGTTTTATGAAACCTTTAACATGAACAAACATGATTAATTTATCTTAAATTTCAGTCATCGTGAGTGCAGCATTAATCCAGGTAAATCCAGGTGAAACCCGACATTCCCATGAACTCAGGAACATTTCCAGATTAAAGTTCTTTAATGTGGGATTAAATCTGTTTCTCTTGGCCTTGGCTTCAGCTGGAAAACTAATCTGTGTCTCATCATTTTGCATGAGAAGACTTTATGAATGGAACATTGTGCTTCAGACGTTTCCACACAGAACCTGCAGTGAGAGCCGATTGCTGCAGCCAGGAAGCAGACGCCAACGTTTTCTCACTCAACTTACTTTGAATTAAACTCAACTGTGACAGTCAAACTTCCAGATTTTCATTCATTCAATGGAAATTCATTTGCAGACACCAACCAAAAATTATGAAAATGATATAATCTGCCTAAATGAAAGTTTAATGTAATGCTTTATATCTATGACATCTCGAAATAACAGATATTTTTGTTCCTGCTTGCGGTAAAAACAACAATAAAAACCACTTACTGGGCGGTAAATTATCTGTTTGTCCACACGGAGGCGTAGAAGAAGAAAGAGAGGAAACAGACATGTTTAATACGGTTCAGATTCTGACCTGCAGGGTTAACCTTCGACCTTTTCAGCCATAAAAACAAAGAGCAGACTGAGAGCAGTTGATACTGGAATCTGAGCTTCAGCCCATTAATGTGTCCAATCAGATCAACAGCTGAAGTTTTCTGTTTATCACCTACAAACCGATAAAACTCAGAAAAATACAAGTGGTGCTAAAATGGGAGCAAAAAGTTTTCACTGCAACTTAACTTTTTCTGCAGTTTGACTCGTTGCAGCTGAACTTTATGATGTGAAGTGGAAGGAAAAGTTTCACAAGCGCAGAATCTGAAAATAAGACTCACTCCGTCGCTACTAAATAAAATCCAGAGCAACCAATGGTGACTGGATGTCCCAGTTTGTAAAATTTGGCTAACTTCCTGTGGCTGATTAAATCCTAAACAGACAGAATGCTTTGGGATGTTTTCAGCTCAGAGTTCAGTGGACTCGGTTCGATTTGGGACCAAAGTTGCAACATTCGTCAAATTTTCAAACCAACCAAATTCTTTGAGGAGCTTTGAGCAAGCAGATCAAAAACTGCTGCAAAACCACAGAGCAGGGCATTCTGGGTAAATGCAACCAAAGCTAACATGCTAGCCTAGCGCTAGCAGCAGAAATGGCTCCTGGTCTTCAGTCAAAGACTAAAGAGAAATCCTCCAACCGCTAAAATCTGACGCCTCCGTCTTGTTTCCCATTGAAAGCAGGAAGTTGCTCTCAGTGTCTTCAGAGGTTTTGTGTCGTTTCCTTCACTGGTTCTTGGTGCAGCGCCCCCACAGGCCAGGAGGGGAACAGGTTGCTCAAAGGGTTTGGTTGGTTTTTTTCATTCCCAAACAAACCGATTGGCCTAGTCAAAGTAAAATGAAACCTATGTTGAGCTGAATATAAGTACACAACGTCTGAATTTCTAATGTTTAAATGTATGTATCCTTTCCTTTCCACCTCACATTTCTACTCCACGTTGTGTTGGTCTATTGCATAAAAAGCCCAGCATGCCTTGCTGGCTGGGCGGGGCGGGTGTGGCATGACATGAGAGAAATGTTTGGATTTGGGGGTAAAGAAGGACCAACTGTGAAGGTCAGGAAACACACTGTTTGGAGGAAACAGTTTTCTGTTTCCAGAGATGTTTGCGGCGGTGCGGTACTCACAATGCCCCGGGATGATGATGGCTCCCTGAGCAAACAGGAAGTACAGAGGGAGGAGGAGAAGGAGGGGGAGGACAGAGGGACAACGCCCCCTACAGCCCATCCACAGACGCTGAGGCGCGCACATCTCTTAATGTCCCATCAAAGGTGACAGAAAACACCCACACACTCACAACGGGACAACACACACCCTCCCAGGTTAGGCACACACTCTCCAGGGAGACACGCTTAATTCAGTCTGTGCTGGTTTGCTTTGGTGACTGAAGCTGCTTCCCGCTTTCCACAATCCCTCCGTCTGCAGCCAACTGAGGAGGAGGAGGAAGAGGAGGAGGAAGAGGGTTGACCGAGAGAACAAAGAAGGATGAGAGGGGAAGAGGCCGGGACACATGGGACAGGAAACACAGATAAAAAGGAAACATCATTAATTTTATCTAACAGGACAAACAAGACATTCAAATTAACAATCACAGCTCATGAAAAATTAACGCAGAACAAGAAATCTGAATATTTAAAGAGACTTTCTCTTCAAATCATGGATGGAAACATGACGGCTGAAAAGGACTGGAGGGATTTTGTGTTAAAAAGATAAAGCAGTTTAGTCATCAAGATAACGTCCAGATCAGAGCAGCAGAAATATGATGCAGTTTTTCATCAGACAGATGTTTAATAATCAGAGGGAGAAAATGAAACCTGGACTGAAAGTGGTCCGAGTAGGAAGCTCTGAGGAACCCCACAAGTTGCTTCCTGAGTTTCCTGTAAATTCCAGGAAATTGAAGTTGTATCAACAACTAAACATGAATCTAATTATGAGTTTGAAATTCATAACTGTAAGAATAATTGGCAAACGTCTGAGAATAAAAGTCATTAAGAGATTCAAAGTTATGAGATAAAAAACTGTTTATACAAGAAGTACCAGTTTGTATTAACGTTTAGAAAAAGGAGTTTCGTCATTTTTACAGAGGCCATCTTGCTTTAGATCAGGACATTTCGTGAAAAATTGGTCGCCTTCCCCAGATTTATTGAGATGTGATGTCACAGGAAGTGAACCGCAGCTTTCAGGTTCAGAGTGTTTCTGCTTCAGTTTTACACCTGGAGGTCCTGAAATATGAAGATGAAAGGTCAGAGGTCGTTATTGGACGTGTCGTATCGTATCAGTCTGTAAGTGCTCTTGGCTCAGGACTTCTGAGACACACATGGTGTTGGAGGCGGAGGCAGCTGGCCTGTGGACCCCCTGGGGGCTAATTATTATGCAACCTGTGCCCAGCACACATCAGTCTCTCCAACACACATCCATCTTCAGGACGACTGTAATTGATGCCCGGCCCAGTCGTTAGAGGACATACTTCATGTTTTCTGAAGGGTTGCAGTAGGAGGTTGTAGCAGCTGCTAACTGTGGAGAAACCTTGATGTTAGCTTAGAGCTAACTGGGCTAACTAAGCAGCAGATCACTGTGATGCTTAAACAGCTCCAGCTTTCTTCATCGAGTGTTTCCGACCGTTCCAGTGGATCTGAGAGGCTTTAGTCGGCGGAGCAGATGGGTCCAATCAGACGCTACTCCAGAGGAGGAAGAGGGCAAGAAGGGAGGCGGTGGGGGCAATCTAATCAGGGACCAGGGGGCAGAACGGGGTGCAGGTGCAACCCAGCAAGAAATTAACTCACTGATAGATTCACTTCTGCAGGAATAAAATCAGTAAAGGTGGACGGAGAGGCGAGGGGAAGGTGAGAAGGAAGAAAGATGAGGGTAATTATCAGACATACGAGACAAAAAATAAAGAGGTATCCCTCCCTTCCCCCCGTTTGACTGTCCATGTGGTCTAAATTCAACTGATTTCATTATTCATGAGCCTCTCACACACTCACACTCACACACACACACACACACACACACACACACACACACACACACACACACACACACACACACACACACACACACACACACACACACACGCTCGCAAAGCAGGCGTAAGTGGTTGGTTATTTCCTGGTGAGTCCTGATGACGAACAACCAAAACTGACTGAATCAGAAACGATTTGTAAGTTTTATTTTGGTTCATTTGCATTTCAGCAACATGGCTGTTCAAAGTGCTTTACATCTTAAAAAGACAAGAATAGAAAACAATGAAAACATTATCCAGTCACCAGTTTGAGAACAAACATTACAATTTATCAAGTGACATCATCAAACTCATCAATATGTTCCGGCTATTATTAATCAAAATGATTGATTTAAACAGGTGAGTTTTTAGCCTTGATTCAAATGAACTCATGGTTTTGGCCGTTTTGCAGTTTTATGGAAGTTTATTCCACTTTAACTTCATGAATCTGAAGTTTCAGCTTCTACGTACCACATATCTGGAGCAAACTTGGAAACACCTGATAGGAAGGTTCATCGGTCTGTGAAAGTTTAATCGTTTCGTTTAGTCGTTTCAAAGTCCTGCTGCTGTTAATTTGATGCTGTTGCGTTAAAAGACAAACACAGACGCTGCATTCAGCTTCTATGCACCACATATCTGGAATAAACAGCCGAATTACTGAGCTCCTTTAAATCTAGTCTAAAAACTCACCTGTTCAGAGTTTATTTTGATTATTAATTAAAAAAACAGTTTATACAAGAATAAACATATTGGATGTTTATTGATGATTTTGCTGATGTCGCTCAGGCTGCATGATGCTGTTTAGACAGTTTTTAAGATTTAACGCACTTTGAACTGCTGAAATGTGCTATAAATATAAACTCGATTGATTGATTAGTGAACTAGCTGGATTTATAGAATAAGCTGAGCTCTGAACATGGTCCGTTATTGCAGAATTAACTCGTTAAATCCTGAAAGATAAACCAGTGTAGCAGTAGAACTGAGGTTTCTTCCAGCCTGTGAAGTTAGCATTTCCTCTGGCAGCGGTCCAAACAAATCAAGAGATTTCCGGCAGCGGTGAGAGCTCTGATCAGAAAGGGGAGCGCTGCCGTTAGCGGGCGTGGCCGCCAGTCGCTTCTGGCTTGTGAAAACTCTTCGTCACAAGCTGCAATCAGCAAGAAGATATTCTGGAGTCTTCCTCAGAACGTCACCGTGATTAGATCATTTAGTGGTGGGATGACATGACGTATTAGAGCCAGACTAAGGTTTTCTGTTTTATTTATTACGAGAATAATATTAGCAGGATAGATACATAATATTACCAGGACTATGAGAAAAGAAGACGTTTGTCAGTGTGTGTGATTCTTTCTACAGAACTCTTTCTATCAAAGTCCTGCTGCTGGTTTGATGCTGTTGTGTTGAAAATGAGGCTCAACGAGCAGAGAAGCAGCATTCAGCTTCTGAGCTCCATTAATCTGTAACAAACTTCCAGAAAACTGAGAAACAGCTGAAACACAGAGCTCCTTTAATCGCAGCTGTTTATATTTTGAACCTCGATAAATGCAACATTGATCAACATATTTGATGTGAATCGATGTTTTTGCTCATGACACCTGATATAATATGTTGGTTCTCAAACTGGTCACTGATGTTTTGGTGACATTTGGGTGTTTTTATAGTTTTATGATGTGAAACACTTTGAACTGCCAAGCTGCTGAAATGTGATATACAAATAAACCTTTTGTTTATCCTGAAATCTAAAAATAAATACTATTTATTTTGGTTTTGCCATAGAAATGTTTTATATAGTGTATGTTTATAAAACTAGGGATAAGAAGGTTTTCTACTTCTAGAAAATTTAAATTTGTTGCAAAGGCTGAAAAGGTTTCTGACCTTTGAACCCAGACGTTTATCTAAAGAACGCACCTTTATTGGGTTCTGTTGTTTCAGTAATTTCTTCATAAACATCCATCCATGAATGTTTGTCTTGCTGTCAGTCGTGTGCAGCGTTGATGGGCTTATCTCCTGCACACAGTCACACCTGGGGCGATTTACAGGCTTTCAGTAGGAAAACCTGAACCATGCATGCATGACGGGAACATGCAAACCCCCAGCATAAAATCCCACTGAGGATCTTCCTACTTTGAGCAAACGTCACCCAACATGCAGCCGACTGTTTATTCTGCTCATTATCTCTGTCACCCACCCAGGGTTCTTGGAATCACCAAGAACCCTGGGTGGGCGCTTTAGGATCAAATATGGCCGCCGCGAAGTGGCAGATAAACTATTTATTTGAACTTCAGACTGCGTGTATCTCTTTAAAACACAGTTGGTTCACAGTTTTCTCTGATTAAGGATAGTTGAATTTTTGTGAAAATATGAGAACAGATTAACACATTTAAATCCTGATGAATAAAACGGTGGGGGGTGTCAGTATGTGGGTGTTTTTTATGTTTTGTTGGCTGTGGATCAGAGGTGGAGGGGCTGAGTTTCAGCTAATTGATCTTCAACCTGCCAGACGTCAAAGTGTCCTTGGGTAAAACCCCCATACTGCCCTCGATATGCTAATTGCTGTGCAACGGGGTGTGCATTGTGTGAGTCTGTGTGCAAATGGGTTAATAATAGAGCGCCCGATAACGGCTCAATCTGTCTGCAGAAACAGGAAATAAGACGAGTTCATTCATCAAGAACATCTCCAACAGATAAACTCTCTCCTGACAGAAAACGTGATTTCTGATTTCACAATGTGGTCCCCAAAAAAACAAAAAAAGCTTTTCAGAGATGCTCATAAATTTAATGTTTAAATCTTAAATAAAATGTCTTTAAGACAAGCTGAAGCGTGGCTCACTGTTCGCTTGGAGGGTTGACTTCAACCCCCTCCAACTCTTAGGGTGTTTATTTAAAGGTGTATCTGGCCTTAATAATGTGTGCTCTGTTAGACCTGAATGCATCTGTAAGAGAAAATGGTTTAATAGAGAAATTACTGATTGGTGAAGGCCTCTACATCTCTATTTAATAAACAATAATATAGAAAGATAATGGCAGAAGCCAAAAACAAAACGTTAGTCAAAATGTGAAAAATTACAAAATTCTGTAAAATAATGAATATTAATGTTAACTTAGGTTAGTCCATGGTGAATACCAAACATGTTCAGTCTGTTCAGTTCTGCCTATTCTGAGCTGTTTAGGGCCTCCTGTCACTTTAAATACACACCTGGCCACACACCGACGTTACATTTCAGAGGTTTTTGAAATGGCTCATCTTCAAGACACCAACAACCATTAATTTATTGCCAAGAACCAGATGGGTAATTTGTTTAAGTGCTTGGCTGTTTCTAGAAGCCATAGAACCCAAATGGAAGAACAAAAATAGACAAAATGTGGATTTTGCATGAGTTTCCTTTCAAAATGTTCTTCCTGTTTCTCTCTTACGTTGCGTTTATGTGACA